AATCCCAAATGCTGACTCTGCATGATTTTATGTTGTAGTAGATTTCCATGTCTGTGTCTGCTTTCACAGAGCTCAGGTGGCTGTAAACATGTCCTTTGGTACTATGCACTTGTATTTTTATGTACAGATGGTCCCGCGTTATGTGCTACTGAGCCACACATATGCACCCTTACACAGGCTCCTTGATGGAAACCAGAGTGGGATGAAGAACTGAGGCTTGGTTAGGCCGACTCTCTCATTCCTGGCCTGCTGCTGTTCCTGCTCAGCCTGTGGACAAGATGAGTGGTCATGCTGGTGTTTATGTTTACTTGCCCCAGCTCTGTATTTCATCTGTTCTTGAGGCCAAGGCTGAGCAAGACTTAGTGAGTTTCAGCTCCTGAGAGAAGGAGGCTCAGCAACCTATTTGTGCAGATCAGCCTCTGAGAGGAAGGCTGACTATGAACTTAAAACAGTGTTGTTTCATTTACACTTTATGGTTACACATATTGTGTCCTTAGGAGATGACAAAACACTGGTGATGTCTCCTGGGAAGAATGCTTGGTAGATATGCTCCCTTTTATAACAGACCTCGTGTGGTATTTATGGACTCACAGATTTAGCTGCCCCATTAGTTCAGGGATTATATGCATTGATACAGCTGCATTTGTCATTTGTAATGATTAAGTAGCATCTTTTCCTATAGCTGGACCATTATTCATTTAAGCATTCATTCACTGGGAGCATTTAAAAAGTATTTTAAGTTTTTCATAGAGTAAATAGTGTGTTACTCTCTGTTCTGTATAAACAGGGCTGGAGCTACTTTTTTTTTTTTTTTTTAATTGATTTTAGAGGGAGAGGGAAAGAGAGATAGAAACATCAATGAGAGAGAACATCGATTGGCTGCCTCCTGCATGCCCCACACTGGGGATCGGGCCCACAACCTGGGCATATGCCCTGACTGGGAATAAAACCGGTGACCTCTTGGTGCAACATCGATGCTCAGCCACTGAGCCACACCAGCCAGGCTGGAGCTACTGTTTTAAAAGCAATTAATAGGGATTAATGATTTGAGTTATTAAAAATTTTTGTTGTATATATCCAGATTTTTTTCTAGAAGGATTGGCAAAATGATGAATACCAGATTTTTAAAAAGACTTCCGGAATCTAGAATTTCTAAATCATGTGGAGTTTTAATTTCTTTGTGGCTAATTAAGGGATATAAAGTAGTATATTATGGCTTTTGTTTTTATTTCTTCATTCAACATTTAGGTTGAAATTTTAAAATAATACCAATTTGTCATCTATATAGACTGACATTGCTTCTTTAATTTTGGGGATATAGTAAATTTTTCTGTGTTGTATTTATCCCATATTCTCTATCCATTAATATATTGGGTATAAATAACAAAGAAAAGGCAAATAAGATTGTTTTTTCTTACAAAATATTCTTTGGTATTTGTGTCTACTTAGTTTTCCTGATAAATTTTATTATCACTTTTTTATTCCTAATGACCAGAGCTACAGAGAGCAGATTCTAGCTGATGAAAAAAAAAAAAAAAAAAAAATCAGGTTGCAAATAAGGGTGAGCCACCTAGAAATCTTTACATGGGATTGATGTTGATCTGTGTCATGTGGTCTGCCTGCTCCCTGACTGCCTGGCTCCAGTAATACTGATGCTTTTCCCATCCCCACCACCTGTGGTTCTGCCAATAGTTTTCCACTAAGAGTTTGATAGTGCTTCAAACCTACATAGTAACTGGGCACATGTCTCCGTTGCCATATTTAGTATTCCAGATAGAATCTTCATGCATCTCTCCATTTGTCTTTATCTCCCATTAGGGTATTATAATTTTCTTTACATTGCTTAAATCCTACTTTAAGTTAATGCTCACAAATTACTCTTACTACAGATGTTATTGCTTTACAATTCATTTGTAGGTCCTATAGCTATGTATAGTTAATTGAAACAATTTAAACCATAGAACAATAAATATTCACTGTATATATTAGTACTCTGTAAATTGAAAGCAGTGTGTACTTAGTGAAGTCTGTCATGTGTTCTCTTTTCTTCTCTACCTGAAAGTACCTTTTCAATTTCCAGCTATGAGTTTCTAGCTTTGATAAGTCCAGGCATCTCTTTTTTGAGGGCTCTTTGTGGAGAGACAGATAATGAGAATGTTACACTGCTGAAGTGCTAGTTAGCTGACATGTTCAAAAATTGTCTTTAAATTTAGATCCCTGAGATCATTCTTAAAGTCCCTATAAGCACTAATTTTTTTTCCCTAGAGATTGAAACAATGTAAATTTTCAAACAACAAAACTCTTCTAAATAAAGCCTCCTACTCTGAGACTCTCTCAAGTAGTTTTGTTTTGTATGGCACTTCATCCTCTGAATTAGCCGCAGTGGTTGCGTGGAAATTGGCTCTAAAATCTTCAGGGAGCTCCTTCGTTGACCCAGGAGACACCATGTCTTTACCTCAGGTGTCCTTTGGGATTCTCTGCCACTGTTGGCAGCTAGGGAGCACCACTGGGCTCTGGAGGGGGTAATTGTATGACCACTATACCTGAGGGATTTTACTGGAGGTTATTATGTTTCCCACATGATTTGCATTCTTGGAGAGAAAGTATTTAATAATTGGTAGTTGACAGAAAGAATGTGTGAACTAGTAGGATAGAAGCTAAAGTGTAACTTTTATGTTTTAACTTTCAGTTCTTTTCTAAGGCATTTGGAGAGTGTCCAGCTACATGACATCATTACTAAGCAAGTGAGGTCATGGGTGCACATTCTGGTGTGTAATAGGCCAACCCTTTCCATTCTTTGTTACCACATTTGTTGACTGGTCTTACTGGGAACAAATTCAAAGCTCTGTCTTCTGACAGACTTGGAATGCGTGTAATAAGCAAACTTAGAAGAGTGTCAGTTTTCTCTTGTTTAATCAATTTAGGGGGAAAAAAAATCACCAAAATACTTGTTGAGGCAGCTTGTCAATAAATGTGAAAAAAGATATAACATTGATCCTCAAGATGCTCATTGTCAAGTATAAATAAAATTGCCATACAGTGAAATAATGTACAGGTGTTTTGGAAGCACAGTGGAGAATTATGTGGGAATTCTTCAGGGGCTGGTTTAGATCAGTGAACTATAAGTAGTATTGAAGGGTAAATAAAAGTTAGTGAGGAGACTTGTTTGAGTCAGCCTTGTAGGAAGCTGACAAGTGGCGGGGCCTTGTGTACCAAGTAAGAGATGATGATGTCCCATTGATGATGGGAAGCAGCTGAAAGAGTGAAAGCAGGGCTAACCTGAATGTCTTTACATTTGCAAAAGCTGTGTTTGTGCAGTGTAGGTTCTGAATGGGAGGAGAGAAGAGGCTGGGAGCAGGGACTTTGGGTTTCTGCAGGAATCTAGGCACAGAGGTTGTGCTCTGGCCATAGCAGTGGAATAAACAGGGCATATTTGAAAGAAATGGAGGAGGCCAAATCATAGGACTTCATTTTGGGTCATGCATTTGAGGATCAGGTGGGGTATCTTAAAAACTCAGGGTCAAATTTATACATAAAACAAATGGATGAATCTCAACATTATACTAAGTGAAAGAAGACAGACACAAGTGACTACATATGCAGAGCATGAGTCCACTCATATGCAACTCTAGAAAAAACAACTCTAATAATCTGCAGTATCAGAAAGCAGATCAGTGCTTGTCTGGGAGACTGATGGGTGGGGTTGCATTAGGATATTTGGGATGATGAAATCTTGTGGTCAAATTCATTGAAAGGTACATTTTAATATGTACATTTTATTGTATGTAAATTATACCTCAATAAAGTTGATATTTATCTATCTATCTATCTATCTATCTATCCTCACCCGAGGACATTTTTCCATTCTTTGTTCAGGTAGAGTGGGAGGGAGATAGAGGAACAGAGAGAGAGAGAAACATCGATGCGAAAGGAACACATCGAGTGGCTGCCACCCCGCACAACCAACCAGGGCCGGGGACAAACTGCAACCGAGGTACGCGCCCTTAGCGGGAACCGAACCCGGGTCTCTCAGGACCACAGGCCGACGCTCTAACCGCTGAACCAAACCGACCAGGGCAATAAAGTTGATTTTTAAAAACTCAAGTTCAAGAGGGAGGTCTGGACCACAGATAAGTAAACATTTGAGAGTTAGTGGGGTTTGGGTTGGTGTTGAAATTCCAGGAGTGAATGAGATCATCTAAGCCAAGTGTGAGGATGCAGACACGGCCAAAAAAAGAAACCTGGGGAACACCCAGGGAAGGAAGAGAAGACTTTGTAGTGGTTAGGGCTGCAGATGAACTACAGGACAGTGACATGAATTCAAAGAAAAGAATTGCATGGATGGAGGGGGCCAGAAGTTTCAATCACTGCAAAGGAGTCGATGTAGGGACTATAGAGTAGCAGTTTGGAGGTCATTGTTTTTCGGTGCTGCGGTGGTTGATTGCACCTGTTGAGGTCAGACCACTGAAGAGGGAAGAAGAAAAATGCAGGCCATTCTTTGTAATGGAATTTTGGCTATGAATGGGGCCAGAACAACAGGGTAGGTAGGTGGTTGGAGTCAGGGTCCAATTCTTAACAATTTCAGGGTCTTTTATAGTTAGAGGGGCTCTGGTAGAAAAGGCCAGATTTTAGCTAGAGGGAGTTGATGGGTAAGGCCCCGAGGAGACCGGCAGGTAAGACTTTGAAATAAGCAGAGGGACAGAAGTATAAGGCTGGACGCACATGTGATATGTTTCTGCAAAGATGAAAGGTAGGGAGCAGAGTAGAGGAGCTGGCTTAGGGAGCATGGTGAAGCTATGAAATGGCTTCTAGGAAATGAGGAAGGAACCTGGCCAAGGATGAATAAAGGACAGTTGAGAAGAGCTAAGCCTTGAGACTGGAAACCTCTCAGTGATTCTGAGAGGCTGTCATTTCTCCAGCTGTGCCCTGCTTTTCAGACAAACAGGTTTTTGTCACTAATACTTCACAAGATAACTAGATAACCAGATTAACATTTTCTTCAGTCTGCTTACCAAGAGGCATTACTTCACGTGCTGGCAGATGTAGCAGCCACCTGCAGCCCCCTAACTCCCAGGCAGTTGGGAAGAATCATCCAGGAAGGAGCATGTCATAGGCCCTTTGCCTGATCCCTATCTGTGACTCACATGCACTGGAGGTAAGATTGGTAGGAGTTGTATTTGTGATGAACTTTGTGACTCTCCAAATAAAGGTTTTGTTTGGCTAGAAATTAGAGCCTTCTGCCTGAGAATATGCTTTCTTCTCCCCCCACCCCCCTTTATTGAGATACAGTTGCTATATAACGTGTAAGTGGCTAGAAATTAGAGTCTTCTGCCTGAGAATATGCCTTCCCCCCATCCCCCTTTATTGAGATACAGTTGCTATATAACGTGTAAGTTAAGATATACAATGTAATGATTTTATATATGTATATATTGCAAAGTTACGACCACAGTAAGGTTAGTGAATACATCCATCACTTCACATGTAGTTACAATTTTTTTTTTTTGGTGGTGAGAACTTTTAAGATCTCAGCAATTTTCAAATATACAGTACAGTATTAACTCTAATCACCATGTGGTGCATTACATCCCAGAACTTATTCATCTCATAACTGGAAGTTTGTACCCTTTGACCACATTTACTCCCTACCCCACCACATACCACATAATACATAACACACACGCACACACACGCATGCACGACTATGCTTTCTTTAATGAAAATATGTGTAAGGATTAGCAGTTGGTGTTACCCAGCAGAGCTGGACAGAGGGCTTACATTAGGCTTAAATCTGAGCTATCAGATGAGTAATTTTTGTTGTCTGTCATCTAAAAGGCATTTGACATGTAAACCTTAACTTCAGGTCTGAGAACCACCTGAGAACTCACTCCTTCCCAGGACTTCGTACTAGCATATAAAGCACATCTAAGGTCCTATACAACAGTGACCACAGGACCCCAGATGCCAGTAGTTCCATCAGGTTAGTGGGTGAACAGCTATGCTGTCTGCTATTGCTTTTACTGGCCCGGAGAGCTACACTTTTTGCTGTGATCCTGTGCCCAGGAAAAGAAATGTCTCCAGGAACCTAAAATGTTTCTCTGATTGAACACCTGGCCCCTCCCTGCAGTCAGTGCTGCATGGCCCAGTTCACCAAGAGCTCCTTGCACACCTGGCCTTTTTCAGTTGCTGGGCTAGTTGGGCAAAGCAAGGTGGAGAGCTTTCATGTCCATCTTCACTGCTTACTGGACTCTCTGACCTCTAGATTGAGTTCTTTGTAAAACTTAGGACCTCAGTTACTTGCTATATTAAAAAAAACACATGGATTTCTGCCCTAGCCATTTGCCTCAGTGGTTATAGCATTGGCCTGTGGAATATAGCATGGGTCTCAAGTTCAATTCTGGTCAAGGACCAGGTACCTGGGTTGCGAGTTTGATTCCCCGGGCCCAGTCAGGATCATGTGGGAGGCAGCCAGTTGATGTGCCTCTCTCATATTGATGTTTCTCTCTCTCACTCCCTCATTTCCACTCTCTCCAAAAATCAATGGGAAAATATTCTCAGATAAGGCTTAATAAAAACATAAATTTCTGAAAATCTGTATATTGGAGTCCTGCTTATGCCATTTGGTGAGTAGGTAGGTTAGGTATATCACTAAACCTTCTACACCTGGTATTCATCTCTTGGAGCTAGATTATGATTATGACTGTCTTGCCTTTCACATGGGAATGCCTTGGGCATGAAATAAGACGGCCTAAGCAACATGCTTGGAAAAATTTAAAGCACCACACAAATGTTATGTTTTTAATATTGTTAAAAGTTCTGAGAAGACCCCAGTTTTCAGCTTTTCAATCTTTTCCATGCCATGTGGGTGAGGGAGGAAAGAGTGATTGGACCTGAGAAACTTTGATAATTATTTTAACTAAAGACTTAATTAAATTAAGAAAATGAGCCCTGGTTAGTTTTGCTCAGTGGTTAGAGTATTAGCCCGCGGACCAATGAGTTGTGGGTTCGATTCTGGTCAAGGGCATACCTTGGTTGTGATTCGTCCCTGGCCCTGGTTGGGGTCATGCGGGAGGCAGCCACTCAATGTGTCCCTTTTACATCGATGCTTCTGTCTCTCTCTCTCCCTCCCACTCTAAACAAAAAGTGGGAAAATGTCTTCTGGTAAGGATTAAAAAAGAAAAAAGAAAGGAAAAGAAAATGATATAGCTATATGAAGTCTTTTTAGAGGCAAAGTCATTTTTTTTCTAATACTCACCCGAGGATATTTTTTTGTTTATCTGCAGATAGAGTGGGAGGGAGATAGAGAGAGAGAGAGAGAGAAACATCGACGTAAGAGGGACACATTGACTGGTTGCCTCCCTCATGACCCTGACCAGGGCCAGGGACGAACTGCAACCAGTACATGCCCTTGGCCGGAATTGAACCCGGGATTCATTGGTCCGTGGACTGATGCTCTACCGCTGAGCCAAACTGGCCAGGGCAAGGCAAAGCCATTTTAAGTGTATATTTTAAGTGTGCTTTGTGATTATTTTGTCAGAATTGTGGTCAGAATGCTCTACCCTCTCTCTACTAAGGTATTTTATTTCTTTAAACAAACCTGCCAGTCTTCAAGGTAGTGTGTGCATATGAAAGTTTATTTGAATTGGTCCATTTGGGAAAAACTTATTGATTCACATGGATTTATATTTTCCTAAGGCAGTTAGCACTTGTTTTGTAAAGGGAACTTCAGGATGAAGCATTTGTCAGTGTCATTCTGGGTAACAAGAGATAACAAATGAATTTATGGGTTCTTGCAGTAAAAGAAGAGTATTTTATAGGCTAGTCACATCTCCTTAGAATTAGGTATAAAAACCACTTGAGGGTGGGAGACACAGCTGCCCCTAATTTATTTTTACTTGTGTAGATTTCAGTGCCACTTCCTCCCTTCCCCCATTTGCCTTGGGCAAACAGAAAGTAGGCATCTCATTGGTGGCGCCTGCTGCTGCAACTTGGGGGACACTCCTTTTTTTTTAAATGGAAAAAAATTCTTTCTTTGGTGAGTATTGCTCTCTTCCTTCCTAGGTATATCAAAGGCAGATAATATGGTCTCTAACTTGTAAATTACAATTTTTTAAATGCCCAGAATTTATCCTCTCTTCTCAGTTAAATAGACCTTGACACAAAATGTTTACATTTTGTCTAATTATGTGATGGACTTCTCTATGGGTTTTGGGCCCTGTGGATAATCTTTTGGTTTCTTGTTCAGCTCTTGTCCTTTGCTCGTTTATTTCATCTGGACTTGGGGACTTAGTAACTGTTGAGCCCCACTGGACTAAGGTCAAAACTAATTTTTTTTTAAAATAAAATAGTTGAAGCCTTTGCACCTCTCCTCCTTTTATTCTTCCCCAAATGGGAGGCTAGGAATTACATAACAGGAATTACAGATATCATGCTGGCACAAGGTGCCTGAGCAGCACTGTTTAATGTTTCTGTTACCACACTCTGCATTGTTGGTGTCCATCTGTCCTTGGAGTCGTTGGCAGGAAATGGAAACCTCCAGAAACTGACAGACCCTCAACTCACCTTCTTCTGGGTTTGCATCTCTAATAAGAATATCAGTGTCTGCCCAAGAGGATGTATTATTATATGTCATGTGCCTTAAGAATCATTCTTCCAAGTTGATACAGCTTTCTGAATGATGTAGAAGATGGAATAGTAAAGAATATTGGTGACATGCAGTGACAGCAACTAGAATGTGGCCTTTATGAAGAATTGGGTTCTGTTACAAAGTGAGTGGGTAGCAATAACAGAAAATCGGGTAGAAGGGAAAGAAAGAAATCCATTAATATTTATTTGGCAGGGTATGTGTTGCTTATACATTTGCTGAATCCTGGAAGAGATGGACGATGATAAGAATAATATTTCACAGGCCCTGAGCAGGTAAAATAGGCTTTGAATACCTGAAACCATACTCAATAAAGAAGTCATATAAAAGATGCAGCCCATGTGGTCATTGCTCCACCAGGAATTAGCCTGCTACTGTATTTATGTTGCAGAGTTACTTTCAATGTAATTATTGATACAATTAGATGTAGGTCTGCCATTTTTCTGTTTTCTGTTTGTCTTACCACTTTATATTTGGTTTCTTTGAGCCTCTTTTCTTGCCTTTTTTGTATTAACTGAAAAATATTTACATACATATTCTAAACTTTAGTTTTATTTATTTGCTGTATATTTTTTAGTGGTTGTTCTAAGGATTATAGTAGTCTCCCTTATCCATGGTTTCACTTTTCACGATTTTCATTACCCTAAGTCAATTGTGGTCTGAAAATATTAAATGGAAATTTTCAGAAATAAGTTTTTTTTTTTAATCCTCACCCTAGAATATGTTTTCATTGATTTTTACAGAGGGAGAGAGAGAAACATTGATTGATTGCCTCCCATGAGTGTCTCAACCAGGGATTGAACCCACAACCTTTTTATGTACGGGTCCATGCCTCAACCAACTGAGCCACCCAGCCAGGGCAATTCATAAGTTTTTTTTTTAATTGATGTACACTATTATATTAGTTTCAGGTGTACAACATAGTGATTCAGTATGTGTATAATCACAAAGTGATTACCACAATAAGTTAAAGTACCTTCTGTCACCATACAAAGTTACTATATATTAATAATTTGTAAGTTTTAAATTTGTGCGCCATTCTAAGTAGTATGATGAAATCTCTCATCATCCCACTCTGTTGCTCCCCAGATATAAATCATCCCTTTGTCCAGTGTCTCCATGCTCTAGAGCAGTGGTTCTCAACCTGTGGGTCATGACCCCTTTGGGGGTCGAAAGACACTTTCACAGGGGTTGCCTAAGACCATTTTCGATGGCAATTCTAACAGTAGCAAAATTACAGTTATGAAGTAGCAACAAAAATAATTTTATGGTTGGAGGTCACCACAACATGAACTATATTAATAGGATCACGGCAGTAGGAAGGTTGAGAACCACTGCTCTAGAGTCTAGACACTCCCCACGTGTTAGCCACTTAGTAGCTAGCTGGTTATCAGATTGTCTGTCGAGGTATCACAGTGCTGTGTTCAAGTAACCCTTATAGTAGTAGCCCAACACTATGTCACAATGACTGTCATTCACCTCACTTCATCTCATGATGTAGGCACTGTATCATCTCACATCGTCAAAAGGAGAGTGAGCCCTAGCTGGTTTGGCTCAGTGGTTAGAGTGTTGGTCCGAGGACCAATGAGTCAACGGGTTCAATTCCGGTCAAGAGCACGTATTTCAGTTGCGGTTCGTCCCTGGCCCTGGCCCTGACCCTGGCTCTGGCCCTGGCCCTGGCCCTGTGGGAGGCAACCAGTCGATGTGGCTCTATCACATCGATGTTTCTGTCTCTCTCTCTGTCTCCCCCCACACTCTGTCTGATGATAAATGGAAAAATACCCTCCGGTGAGGAATAAAAAAAAAAAAAGAATGAGCCCAGTAAAATGTATTTTGAGAGAGAGACACATTCATGCAACTTTTATTATAGTATATTGTATTAGTCATGGTTGTTAATCTCTGTTCCTAATTTGTAAGTTAAACTTTATCATTGTTTGTATGTATAGGAGAAAACACGATATAAATAGGATTCAGTACTATCCACAGTTTTAGGCATCCACTGAGGGTCTTGGAACATTTCCTCCATGGATAAGGGGGGACTGCTGTATAGCATTATTTTGTATTTATCACAACATGGTTTACTTTATTATTAAACTTAGATAAAATACAGGGGCCCTGCAGAGTATAGTTCCATTTATCCCTCTCCCAGCCCTCGTGCTGTTGCCATAGGGCCTTGCCTGTTACTCTGCGACTGGGATTGATGGTGGGTTTTGAGCAGAGGAATATCAAGAATAGCTATTGCTCTTAACAGTACATCCAGATCCACTGACTATTTGAATAGAGTAATATTTAATTATAGTTTTTATAAAATGATAAGTAGAGTGTTTTTCACTGTTTAAAAAGAGCCATGTGTTGCCCCTTAGCATTGAGAGCGGTGAGCCTCAGGTCCTTGTAAGAGAAACTCAAAAGCCCATTTAATCAGTGTTCTGGATTGTCTGACTTTTCATTAGTTTTTCCTTAATTGGTGGGTTAGTGTTGTATTTCATTTAATCAAAAGTGAATCCCTAGTTTTATAGCTTGTTCCTCAAATCAATTAGCATTTTAAGTGTTTACCTCTTTTAGAGGTGCAGGCTGCTTATTTTCTTTTTTAAAAAGTATACATGTTTATTTTCCATTAAAGACTGGAACTGGATAGAAACATATGGAGTGAAATGTGAGGAAGTCTCTTAGCACATGAGGAACCAACTGTCTGTTATCCCTTCCACGTTTATTCTGTTTTCTTTCAAAGCATTTGTACTCTTCCAAATTATACCAACTTCCTCCTGACTTTAGAGGTTAATTTACAGATGAGTGTGTTTGTTCCATCTACTTCTCCTTATAGCTTAGAGCATTTTCCTGTCACCAACATAAAAATGATAGGTGGCTTATTCATTTTGCCTCAAGAATATTCAAGTCCTACAGCTTTGAACATTTCTCAGTTAGTTGAAAGTCTAGTTTGAGATTACTTTTTTTGGATTCTAGACAGAAGATCCCAGAGCACATTGAAATAGCTCTGTTGCATAACTGTCCTGTGTCTAAAAATAACACTAGGGTAGCATCAGCTCTTGCCCAGGGATATGAACCCGCACTCTTTTGGTTATTTGTGCTGACTCTGACCGCAGACTGGCGTCTAGTGTGTCCTGCCAAATGATCCTTTATTGAAAACACCAAGTTTGTTCCAGTGAAGTTTGGTACTGTTGTAGTCCCTGATAGCACAGCAGACAGACTGCGTGTGGTGTCTGTCCAGGTCTGACCACCAACACTGAGGGATTTTCGTAATTTCATTAATACTTCTCTGAGGTCTTTGGTGCCTGGGGTTGTAGATTGTCTGCACTTAACCCATACACTTAAAGTGTTGTGTCATGAATCTGACTCAAAGAAAATCATGCAAAGTCACAGTCTCTGTATTAGGATCAGGGTTAATACTCCTTTTATTGTCTGTTTTATTGCATGAAAAACTGGACCCTCCTCTTGCTGGCAGTATGCACAAATAATTTACAGAGCCTAAAAATAGGCAGATAATTGGATTGAGATGCAGAAATTCTGAGATGACTTTATTAGAGAATGTGTTAATGCATCTCAGATTGTACAAAGAAACAAATATCTGTATCTGAATCACTGTTACATCTTTGAGAGCACCTATTTTTTAAAATTTTATTAATTCACCTAAGAGTGCCAGATAGATTTTCGTCTGTTGTTATTTCAACTCCTATCTCCATTTGGGTTAAAGATATGATAGTTAAATGTGTTTTGTTTTTATTAAGTCGGTACACATTGGTATTGGCATCTTTAATGAATACTTATTAAAATAGTAACATAATGTCATACTAAAAGGAAAATGCAGCTTTGTTTACAGATGCACAGTTTCTCTTCATTTAGGTGCAAATCAAAGACAATTATGAATTATAAAAACTTCACCTCTTGCCCTGGCTAGTGTGAGTCAGCGGTTAGAGCGTCAGCCCTCAGACTGAAGGGTCTCAGTTTCGATTCTGGTCAAGGACACATACCTGGGTTGTAGGTTTGATTCTGGCCCTGGTCGGGGTCTTGCTGGCACACTTGTGTGTAATTCCAGTATCACGTCTTCAGTTCTGGAAAATTGTTGGCATTGATTCTAATATTTCTTCCTACCACCATTCCTTCTAGCTTAATTTCTGGAAATACTATTCGATTATGTTTCTTCTCACATGTTATGTTACTTGACTCTTTATATATGTATTTCATTTCTTTTTCTATACTTTAAGCAGGCTTCTAAATAGAAGCTTGATTTTTCTTTTTGTGCCTGTTTTCTCCTGTCTGTTGAGTTTTTTTTTTTTTTTTATCCTCACCTGAGGATATTTTTCCATTTTTTGTACAGATAGAGTGGGAGGGAGAGAGGAAGGGAGAGAGAGAGAAACAACGACGTGAAGGGACACATCGAGTGGCTGCCACCCGCACGACCAACCAGGGCCGGGGACAAACTGCAACCGAAGTACGTGCCCTTAGCGGGAACCGAACCCGGGTCTCTCCGGACCGCAGGCCGACGCTCTAACCGCTGAGCCAAACTGGCCAGGGCGAGTTTTGTTTTTTTGTTGTTGTTTTTATCCTCACTCGAGGGCATTTTTGCATGTATCTTCAGATAGAGAGAGAGAGAAATATTGATGTGTCTCACATCGACTGGTTGCCACCCACACGACCCCAACCGGGGCCAGGGCCAAACTGCAACCGAGGTACATGCCTTTAGCAGGAACTGAACCCGGGACTCTGGTCCATGGGCCGATGCTCCAAGCTAAGCCAAACCAGCCAGGGCCTGTCTGTTGAGTTTTTAATCGATGACCATATTTTTCATTTCCAGGATTTCAAATAGTTTTTGTTTTCAGTTCTACCACTTGATTCATTATCTGACTGATTTTGTTTTATTAAAAAATGGGGGGTAAGCCAGGCTGGTGTGGCTCAATGGTTGAGTGTCGACCCATGCATCAAGAAGTCGCTGGTTCGATTCCTGATCAGGGCACATGCCCAGGTTATAGGCCAAATCCCCATGGGGGGCATGCAGGAGGTGGCCAATTGATGTTCTCTTTCATCGATGTTTCTATCTCTCCCCCTCCCTTCCTCTCTCTCTAAAATCAATTTAAAAATGGGAGGTGGTATTTTTATTTTGTATATCTTTAAAGGTTTTAACACATTTATATTAAAGTCATTTTCAGTTTGCCATGTTTTTATCTTGCCAGGAGTGACTTTATCAGATTGTTAACTTGTCAGTCTTTCTTGATGTTGTCAGTCTTTCCCTCTCGTATATTGGGCTTTTA